GTTGTTAGTTGGAAAGCAACTTTGCAGACTGCAGTTACTCTCTCTACTACTGAAGCAGAATATATGGCGTTGACAGAAGCTGCTAAAGAGGGAATCTGGTTGAAAGGGCTAGTTGGTGATCTTGGTCTGCATCAAGAGCGAGCTATTGTGTTCTGTGATAATCTGAGCGCTATCTGTTTAGCCAAGGATCAGGTCCATCATGAGAGGACCAAACATATTGATGTGAGGTATCATTTTCTGAGGAATGAGAAGAAAATCAAGGTGGAGAAAGTGGGCACTGCTGATAACCCTGTTGATATGTTCACCAAGCCGGTCCCACATAGCAAGTTCCGACATTGTTTGGACTTTCTTAACATCAGAAGCTGTTAGTAGCCCTGCGGGGCAATTCTGAGGAAGAGGGGGAGGTCTGGCACAATCAAGAGTGCATCTGAAGAATCTGTATGGAGGATTCAAGTCAAGGTGGAGATTTGTTAAAATGCCTTGAATCTGACCCATCACAGCTCCGAATCCGGAGAAGTCCGTTTTCTGAGAAGTCCGTTTTCGGAGAAATCAGAGTTCGGAGGAGTCAGAATCCGGAGAAGCCAGAATCCGGAGAAGTCAGAATCCGGAGAAGTTAATTGGGCTTCTAATTATCTGTTAATTCTGTAGTTTTGGGCCCAAGTATGTTAGGGTTTAGTCAAGCACTATTTATATGGGTGCTACCACAAACCCTATGAGCTGTACTCTGTTTTGCCTCTCCTTCAGAAATAAAACTGCTCACCCTCTTCCCCGTGGACTAGCCAACACAACGTTGGTGAACCACGTTAAATCTGTTGTTGTGTTTTTTTCTGTTTGTTCTTTGATTACTCAATACCCTATTCCGTAACAACATGTTTCACCCAAGATTATGTTCTCACCACACCATCAAACATGCGAGCCTGTACTATTCTAACCCTCGCAATCTTGCTCCGTGCACCATTTTCTATCTTAACTGAACACATGTGAAACTCACAGCCCGAATCTAATATCCAATTAGATTTACCTAGACTCTTTGGGGTTGCCAAAAACAAGTCTTCTTCACTTGCTTGGTTCAAACTTTCCACAACCGCAGTCACGGGTGTTTTCCCGTCCTTCTTTTCCTTCCTCCTCTTTGGACAATCCCTTTTAAAATGACCCTCTTCATTGCAGTAGTAACACCAAAAGGTTTTACTACTCGATTTAGAGCGTTGGGACACACCGCCCCTCTCTTTAGAACGTCCTCGTTCCCAACCAGCTCCTTTTACTACAAAAGCTTGATTGTCATTTGATACCCCGTTGCCACTCCGCCGAGTCTCATTCATCAATAACGGAGTAATTAACTACTTCATCAAATTTTAAGGTCTCTTTTCCAAACAAGATCGTGGTCATGATGTTTTAAAAGACAAAGGCAATGAAGCCAACAAAAGCAGCGCCTTTTCCTCCTCTTCAATCTTCACATCAATGGATTCTAAATATGTTGTTATCTTGTTGAATTCATCCAAGTTTCCATTAAAGTTAGCTTCCTCTGCCATTTGGAGACCAAACAATCGTTTCATCAAGTATAGCCTACTTGTCAATGATTTCGACTTGTACCGACTCTCCAGCTTGTCCCACATATGTACCGTCTCTCCATCAAACTGAGAACCTAGCCAAAGAGTATTATTTGCAACACATAGGCATATTGTAGTTGTTTCCATGTCCTTCAAATCCTCCCACTCTTCTTTCGACAATATTTCCGGCTTGTCGTTCTTGCAGTGTTAGGCCCGCTCAGCATCCCTCATTCACCTCGAGAGCTTTGATTGTCTCTTCCCTAGTAAGACCACTTTTTACTCATTGTTGCTACAGAGTAAAATTGCCACGTCCATTGAAAGGTTTGACATGAACATTCGAACTTTTTACCGATGCCTTTTTTCAAGTTCTTCAATTTTCTTCTCTTACCGCTTAGAAATCCCTCCGCCCCAAATGTAACTTAGCTCTGATACCAATTGTTGGGATTTTAAGCACGTAGACTCTTAAAATATCAAGAACGTGAAAAATAAATAAACACACTACACAAGAAAAAAAATATGAGATAAAAATTATATCTTCACTATTTCAAAAAGATGCACAAAAAACTCTCCCTGTTTACAAGCGTAAAATACCAGACACTAAAAAACAGACTTTTGACACCCTACACCTAGATGTAATTTCGAGTAACTAAATAATAGTTATTCCCTACACTTAATCACAAAATCTTGGTGATATCTTGTGTAGCACCTCTCTCTTCACACTCTTTCTCTCTCTTAGCTGTGTATGGAAACCCACCCCAAACCTAAGGAGAGAATTTCTCTTATAAGAGGTAAAGACCAAAAAAGAAAGAAACAACCCAACCCCTTAGTTTCATACACCACCAAAAATAAGAGAAGAAGACAACCTCCACATCACATACATTGGTCCAATTCCAACTGATGGATATAATCCACTAGTACCACCGGGCAAGTTCACAGACCCTGGGGGTACCAAATTCTTGCCCCGCCTGACGTCACCAACCCCAGGAGACTGACTGGTTGGATGTCACAAGCGCCCGAGAGATCTGAAGGCTGACCCCACATGACCTCACCAACCCCAGTAGACTGACCGGGTGGATGCTAGGGGTCAGACCTGTGAGATCGTGACTTCATTTGCATAAGGCTTAAAGTGTGACCAGGCTTGACCTCACCGTCCCCGTTAATCTGCCGGGATGGATGGCTTGAAGATTGGATGACTTGAAGACTGCCCGGGTGGATGGCTTGAAGACTTCCCGGGTGGATGGCTTGAAGACTGCCTGGGTGGATGGCTTGAAGACTGACTGGCCGGAAGAATAGTAACGTCGGGACGTGCTTGACGTGCTTGTTCTTTATTATAAATAGGACTAAAAGCCTCATTTGTGAGGCACGCTTTTATTAATCCACACGGCTTGTACTTTGTAATAGCTCTTATTATCATTAATAACAAACCGGGCTACAGGTGTTTCCACCTACAACCCTTCCGATTACTTATACTTAGTATTTGCGTGGTAATTTACACCATCAAATTGGCGCCGACCGTGGGACCTCTTTACAAAAAGAAGCCATGATGAACAACAATATGAAATCCATCATTTCCTAAATTTCCACCCCGGCGGAGGGTGTTACCCTAATCCCGGGAGGAATCACATCATTACCTTCTCTTTTCTCCCCCATGATCACCACCTTCACTACTCAAACAGCACCGGGTCAAGCCCTCCAAAATTTGGACAATTTATACCCATGTTCCAACAACCCGGTGGATTTACTATTTTCATCCCTGGGATGTACTCCCATGCTCTGGACCAAAATACATCTCCCAACCCGCTGGGGCATCCCCCGCCGAACCAACCGGTCAGTACCACCCGGCCGGTCATCCCGACAAATATGGCCACGGAGCTGGAAAGGGCAGGTCCTTCTCGGTCTAGAAGGAGCAGATCCCACAAAATCCCCATTCAGGTCACATCCGACGGGGACATGCGCTCTGTACGCAGCAGGGACAAAGATTGGGATATTCCCAGGGGCCAGAAAAAGTTGCACGGCAAAGCCGTCCAGCCAGAAGGTTCGCGACGATCAGCGTTCCAGCGGCTGGGACACAAAGGACGGAACCAGAACCGGCCGGTCAAGGAGCGGTTGGGGTGGAGATCCCCCAGCCAAGCGCGTTCGATAGACTGGGAGGTAACAGGCAACCCGGTCAGACCAGGCGCTTCGAACCTCATCACCGTGATGTGCCCCAACACAGTTGGGTGTTTGGAGCGGAAGAGCATGCAGAGAGCCAGCCCAAACTGGCGACACACACGCATACTGAACCACCCAACGACCGGGTGGACAGAGCAGAAGCACGTTTGGAGAGGCTCTTAAAGAGAGTTCGTCAGGAGGAAAAGAAAAAAGTGGTGTTGAACAACCGTTTTATCATCCGCTAAGACCGGATATGTACCGTGCCAATGCTAAATAAAGTTGATCTTTTTCTGAAAAGACTACTCGCAAAACCGGTCAGAGAGGTTACAGACCCATCCGCCGGGTCTATGTTCAATTGAATTGAGCATTCCAAAAAAACAAAACAAAACAAAGAAAAAATGTGACCCAGTCGAACTGGTACACTGGTTTCACACCGGTCTTGCACATATTTTTAACAAGCCTGAGTCTAATCGAATTGGGTACACCAGTTACACATCGGTTTCAGCAAAAAAAGAACTAGCCGGCCTGGTCAAACTAATAAACCGTATCGACACGGTCTCGAATGACGCGACAAAAATAGGAGAGCATCCGGCTTGGTCAAGTTAAACGAGAAAAACATTGCTTATTTTCTACTCGGGTGAAAGATGGTGAAACATCCTCACTCGGGTCAAAACCACCCGAGAAGATCTATCTCTGCCCGGGTTGCAGACCCATCTGCCCGGTTAGTGTTCAATCGAATTGAGCATCACAAAACCACCCGGGTGGAACACCATACTTCAATCGAATTGAACTAAAAAAAAGAAGATAAAAGTATGTGACACAGGCCCGACCTAGTACGCTGGTCTCACACCAGTCTTGCACATATTAAAAAAAACTGCGACCCAGTCGAACTGGTACACTGGTCTTACACCGGTCTTGTGCAGTATAAATAAAAAAATAAAGAAAATATGTGACCGAGTCGAACTGGTACACTGGTCTCACACCAGTATTGCACATATTTTCTAACAAGCCTGAGCCCAATCGAATTGGGTACACCGGTTGCACATCGGTTTCAACAAAAAAAAAAGAGCCCGGTCGGACTGGGAACATCGGGCCTACCCCGATCTTCGATATCTTTCCCTGAAGACTTTTCACCTGGGCAAAGTCAGGGTGAACCAACCTACCTAGGATAAATAAAAAAGCAAAACTGCCCAGTCGATCAAGATTCAGACTCGGGTGAGTGACGGGGTCACAATGGATTCGCTTAACTTGGCTCGGAGGACTTTTTCAAAAATATGTTCCCCCGTTTGCATGGCCGAGGCCTTGAATGGAAAGAATTGATTGCCTTGCTCACTCGGAGGACTAGAGCTCTTATTCACCCGGGTGAAGGAAGAAATGACTCACATGATCAACTTTGAAGCATAGCCCGGGCATGCTCTGACAAAAACTCACCCGGGTGGCTTATTTTCTACTCGGGTAGAAAGCCAAAACCGGTCAGATGGGCCGGGTCCATCTTTTCTCGGGCGAAGCACTTTTCTTTTTCAGAAAGAATGGTGAGATGCGTTAGACCGGGTAGATACAGCTCGAGGAACCGCCTGGCCTTCTCCGCCAACTCGGTGATCTTCCGCTTAGCCCGCTCATCCGACTCCTTGGCGAACTTGAACAAGACCTCGTGCTTGATAAAGAGACCCCGGTAGGCTTCGGCCTGTTCGACCGGCTTCTTCTTCATTTTCTCGGACGCCAACCGGGCTGCCTTTGCATCCTTCCGGGCGGCGACCATCATGGCCTCCATCCGGAGCATCTCATCCGTCTAGGACCTGACCAGCCAGATGGCACCCTCCTGCCCGATCCGGGAAGAGGAAACGACGCGACAACTAGGCGGCGGCGCACCAGATATCTATAAAAACTTTCCTGCCAACCATACCCGAGAATTCAAAATTCAAAATTATTTAGACATTTGATTCCCGCCCTTGATGGTGCCCACAAAGCTGAGAATCGGAGGACTTATTGATGGATATAATCCACTAGTACCACCCGGCAAGTTAACAGACTCCTGGGGGTACCAAATTCTGGCCCCGCCTAACGTCACCAACCCCGGGAGATTGACCGGGTGGATGTCACAAGTGCCCGAGATATCTGAAGGCTGACCCCACATGACCTCACTAACCCCGGTAGACTGACCGGGTGGATGTCAGGGGTCAGACATGTGAGATCGTGACTTCATTCGCATAAGGCTTAAAGTTTGACCTGGCTTGACCTCACCGTCCCCGTTAATCTGCCCGGGTGGATGGCTTGAAGACTGGATGACTTGAAGACTGCCCGGGTGGATGGGTTGAAGACTGCCCGGGTGGATGAGTTGAAGACTGCCCGGGTGGATGGCTTGAAGACTGACCGGCCGGAAGAATAGTAACGTTGGGACGTGCTTGACGTGCTTGTTCTTTATTATAAATAGGACTAAAAGCCGCATTTGTGAGGCACGCTTTTATTAATCCACACAGCTTGTACTTTGTAATAGCTCTTATTATCATTAATAATAAACTGGGTTACAGGTGTTTCCACCTACAACCCTTCCGATTACTTATACTTAGTATTTGCGTGGTAATTTACACCATCACCAACCATCACTTCAGATGCATGATACATGCATTCATCCTTCTTTATTTTCCTTTTTTCAATTATTTAATCAATCAATCTCAACAAGAGGGATCATTGATGCAATATTTTTAAAAGTTGAGAGACCATTAGTTCAACGTTCAAAATTCAAAAAAATATTATGTAATTTTTAGAAATTTCGAAAGTAAATGATACAAAAACTCCAAACTACTACCTCCGTCCCAATTTATTTGTCTAGTTTGACTTTTTTGAGTTAAACTGGACAAACTTTGAACTCCAATTGCCCTTAATTTATATTGCATATTAGCATAATGAAATACAGTTTTGAAAGTTCTCAATACGATAAATCCAATATAAGTCATTTTTATGTTAAAATACATTACAACCTTTATTTAACTAAAAATTAAAGTTTATCCAATTTGACTCGTAAAAGTTAAACTGGACAAATACATTGGACGTAGGGAGTAACTATTTATACTTTACCGAGTTTTTTTTGGTTTTGTGAATGAATTGTGGAGAACATGTCGTTATGCCGCCAATAAAGACTAGGGAAAGGGTTTGAATTCAAACAGGTCAAGCCTAGTGTAGTGACAGTTACATTACGTCCTGTCTGCCCCAATATACGAATACTCCGAAGTTATTCAAGAAAACACCATGTGCTTTATTTGTCCTTTTCTCATATGGCGTTAGGAGTGCCGGGGTTTTAATTCTTAAATTGGAGAACGTGAAGGACCCACGGTTCACAAGATCTGCGGAGTATTTAAATTTTCTTACATTTATTCAATAAAAGATTATTTAAAATAATCCACATTTTCTTTCAAAATGAATCTCATGCTTCACTATGTTACATACTCCATAATAAATTAATATTTATTAGGATGTGCAAATTTTGTATTGTCGATAAGGCTCCAACAATTACCATATGGTTTAAAAACTCATGTGCGTGTTTTGCAAATAAAAAATAAAAAAAAAAGAGATTATAGTTGAAGAAAAAGACTAATATAGGAGTACAATATAAAAAATAAACCAAAACAGAAGTTTCATATTTTTATTTCTAAAATGAGAGTTAAAATACATGTAAAATGTCAATCATGACGACATACATTACCAAAAGATATTATAAAATGTTCATATACAGTGTCACATTATCACTGCAAACATCTATTTTGGGATAAAAACATGTAACTCTTATTTTGATACTTTTTATATGTTTTATTTCCAAATAGGAGAAAAATAAAAAAAGTACCAAAATAGGAGTTTTATATTTTTTATCTCAAAAATAGAGATTCAAATTGTTGTAATGTGATGCTGTATATGGACATTTCAATATACTCTTATTTTGATATATTTTCAATTATTTACTTCAACTTTAGTATTTTTCTTTTAAAGTTATATGTCACATATCTATAACCATAAAATGCATGTTTGTTTGTTGCGTCGTTTTGAAATGTTTTGATGTGTCGTTTCGAGAAAACACCTATAGTGGATTATCGGAAAAATAATTTCTTGTGCCGCTTAAAATAATGGAATACAAAAAATTGTAATGAGTTGTAAAAAAATTGTAGTGCCATTTCGAGGAAAAGATTGTAATGAGTAGTTATGAGTTCTTTTGCATATTGACTAATATTTTCGGGGAAAAAATTGTAGTTCAAATAAATGTAGCGGATTATCAAAAAATAATTCTCAAAGTTGGTATGAGAAAAAAAGTGTACAACAAAAAAGTTGTAATCAATTATCCAAAAAATAGTAATATCATTTGAGAAATAAATATTAGCACCATTTTTGGAAAAATATTTGTAGTTAATTACGGGAAAATAATTTACAATCGCGATATTGTACAATCAAAACAATTTTCTTACTATGGTACAAAAATCTATAGAAAATGGCGCAACAATGTCTTTTCAAAATTGTACTTTATTTTTGGGTAATAGCATGAGTGCTCCTCGAGATTTGCAAAAAGGGCGTTAAAATCTCTTTTATTTTCAAAAGTTATTTGTAAATTTTTTGTGATTTTTGAATGAGGAATTTACCTAAATAGTATTAAAACATAGTGACTTTCTCAATTTAGTAGTATATGTTTTTATTTCCCAATGTACTACCACTAGTCATTGTTCATTGGTTATTGTTCAAGTAAATGTCAACTGCCATTGAACATCGTTCAAAGTAAATATCCAACATCACTGAACATTGTTCATACTACTAGACATTATTAAGTACTATTTAAAAAATAAAAAAGTTTAAGTACTACACTAGAAAATGGCATATGTTTTAATACTATTTAGTACAAATTTCACTTTTTAAATTGTGCACATACGGCCTCTTGCCTATTTTTATAAATAAAATGATATTTATGCCCTTTGTTTTTCTCTATCTTCAAGTTTCACTCTTTATTTGCATTTTTTTTATTATACAAATAAATAAAATAAAATATACGCCCTCTTTCTCAAATTAAACTTTTTAATCTATTTTTTTCAAAAAAATAATTTTTAGAAAATGTTACAAAAGAAAATAAAAAATAAAAAATGATATAAAATACACCTTTTTATTATAAGTAAAACTAAAATAAATAAAATAAAAAAATAGATAACATATACTCACTCTATCTCTAGTTAAAAATTCTAACTTATTTGTTTTTTAAAAGTAAAACAATTTTTTTAAAGACTTTAAAAAGTAAAGAACAAAAAAATGAAATAAAATTCGGAGTTAAAGAAAAAGAGTGTTTTTTATATTTTTCTTTCTTTTCATTACCTTTTTCAATTATTATTTTTCTTCGTACATAATATTTCATTTCTCATTTTCTGTAACATTCTTCAAAAAAATCTTTTCTTTTCAAAAGTGCATAATTGAAAATTTTTAATTTGAGCTGGGATGCGTATATTTTATTTTATATTTGTATAATAAAGGAAAATAAAGCAGTGAATAAATTTCAAATTATAATTTCTTTTAGAAAAAATAAATTTAAACGATAACAATGAAATAAGAAAAATACTCCCTCCGTCCCATATAAAACTTCCCATTTGGAATAGTACCCCAAAATAAGGAGGGGATATTTTGGCTTTGAGTTACCCAAAATACCCCCCCCCCACACGCCCTAAATGAAAAAAGAGAAAAGTGTAAGGAAAGTGGGTGTACTTTTTTTAATTAAATAAGGGAAAGGAAACATATCAAATCAACACAATCATTACACCACTATTTATTACAAATTACATTTAAATTCTTGAACCCATGCAGGAGGGAAAATTTTTTGGGAAATTTTTCATTTCCCTCCAATTACAAAAAACCCAAAAATAGCAAGACTTCTATAAATAGAAAGCATTGAATGCATTCAATGCTTTCTTCTTTTTTTCTTCTCTTCTTTATGGAGTTTTCTTCTTCATCTTTATCTTTTGATGAGCAAGCCCCACCGGAATCAGGGGATGATTCTGTCAGTGAGAACCACCCCCACCCTCCACTTCTCCAAGTCCCCTTCCTCAACCTTGAAACCCCTACAGATATAGAAGAAAACACAGCACATTCACGAGAAAAACAAAGCAAAAGAAGAAGAAGAATAGTGGATAGATTACTAGTCTTATAAGCACGACAAACTTCAGCATGGTTGCATTAAAGCAGTGGTTGGGGAGTTCAACATTTCCAGAAAAACAGTAGGGAAAATATGGTCTTTAGCTAGTGGTCAAATGCAGGATGGTCTACTAGTTTGTGTTCAATGCAAAAGGAAAGGGAACTCTGGCAGAAAAGAAGTGCCTGTTGACATTCCAAAGATGTTGGCAGTTCCATTTCATAGGCGCAAGAACATACGTGCCCTTGGGTATGCAATGGAAGTGTCCAAATCAACTGTCCAGAGATGGCTAAAAAGGAAGACCATAAGGAGACATTCCAATGCAATCAAGCCATATTTGTCAGACTCAGGTAAGCTAAAAAGACTTAGCTTTTGTTTAGACCATATTTCTCCCTCATCACTTCCATTGAACCCAACATTTCACAATTTTTATGATTATATTCATATTGATGAGAAATGGTTCAATATCACAAAGGAAAATGCCACCTTTTATGCACTGCCAGAGGAAGAAGACCCACACAGAACAATCCAATCCAAAACACACATACCAAAAATAATGTTTTTAGCAGCAGTGGGTAGGTCTAGGTATGGGGCTGATGGGGGTCTACTGTGGGATGGGAAAATTGGCATTTTCCCATTCACTTTTCTTGCTGAAGCAAAAAGGGCTTCTAAAAATAGGCCATCAAGAACACTTGAAGTTAAGGCAGTGCCAATTATAGACAGGCATGTCATGAAAAATATTTTGATTTAAAAACTTCGGCCAGCAATCAAGGAAAAATGGCCAGGACCAACTAAACATGTTATCATTCAGCAAGATAATGCAAAACCACATGTGGAAGGAAATAATCTAGAGTTTGTAGCAGCTGTAGTAGAAGGAGATTGGAACATTGAACTGAAATTTCAGCCACCCAATAGCCCAGATTTAAATGTACTTGATCTGGGTTTCTTTAGGTCAATTGACAGCATTCAAGATCAATCAACCCCTAGAAACTTAAGTGAATTGATAAATGTTTTAACCACAGCATTTCAGGATATCCCTCATGAGAAGTTGAATAATGTTTTCCTAACATTGCAAGGAGTTATGGGTGAGGTTCTTAAAAACAGAGGTGGCAACACTTTCAGAATACCTCACATTGGGAAAGCAATGTTAGCTAGGGAAGGAAGGCTGCCAGAGAATATAGGGGTCAACCAAGAAGTTTATGAACAGGCAAAACATTTTCTCGAAGAACAAATGTGAACTTTTTGGAAGTTCTTTTTTGTATGTACAATAGGGAATGGGAAAATTACAATATTCTCTTGTAATCCCAAGCCAATGCACAAATGTAATCAGTGTAGCATCTAACTTTTGGTTACCAGGCAGTTTGGTCAGGGTACAAATGTCAAAGTACTACCAGTTGCCTGTTTTTTGCTTTTTGCTTTTTGCTCGGTTGTACTTTTGTTAATATGAAGTGTAATATCTGTCTTTTGTTCACAAGTGGAGTATCTAAAGTGTATTATCTGTCCTTTGTTAAAAAGAAGTGGAGTATCTGTCCTTAAGTAGAAGAGGTGTAGTATCTTAACAAGTATAGTTTCTAAAGTCTAGTATCAGTCCTTAAATAGAAGAAGAGAAGCACAGAACAACAGAACCACAGAATCACAGAATCAAGCTAAAATTGTAATTTTCAGAATCACAAAGCACAACTTAAATCACCAGAAAATATGTATCCTTTCACACTACAAAACACAGGTAGACCAAAAACAGCACAGACCATACCAGCATAAATGTGGTTTCTGTAAGTCTCCTACATGAAAGTGGTGACATTACAGCAAAAACCACACATATTCTGAACTCTTTTCAGAATTAATCATGTTTGCATCATTAGTTTGCCAAAAAATTAAAAATTTCCGCATGCAAGGAAATCAAAGTAGATACATCTTACTTGATTTGAAACGATTTTGTTTAGCTGGGTCTGAAGTAGCTTCTGAGAAATTGAGCTCATCCTCAGACATCTCTAAGATTTGTGCAGATGTCACAAATTCAGAGTCTTCTTCTCCATCCTTTTCTTCGTAACTCCTTTCAGGGTCAGAGTAATAACCCCCCCCCCCCCTAAATGCTTTTTACGGAAACTCCAGGTTGGATCCGTCTCAAAGGAGTCAGATCCACCTCCATCCAAGCCAGATCCCCAAATCTCCCTATCCTTCCTCTTCGAAATTGTGGGTGGGGGGAATTTTTGACGAGGAAAAGATGTTTCCTCATCACTGTCGCTCAGTAATTGAAACAAGGGCATCGTAGGGTCGCGACTTTTCATCGATTCAGAGAGGAGAAGAGAGATAGAGGTAAGATCTGAGAGAAGAGGAGGGGAGAAGATGAGAGAAAGTCTGGGAATTGGAAGAGGCGAAGAGGAGAGAGAAGATTCGAACGGGTGGGGGGTGGGTTAGGTTGGTTTTGTTAGGGTTTGGGATGGAGGGGTATAATGGACTTTTAATAACAAATGGGAAGTTTTTTTTGGGACGAAAAAAACGAAAGGGAAACTTTCTTGCGGAACGGAGGGAGTATAAAAAATAAATACTACCTCCGTCCCATTTTATAACGCCTGTTTCGGTTTACGATGTTTGACTGAAATTATTTTCAAACCATTTTATATGACAAATGGTATAGAATTAAAAAATAAAAATTACATATTAAAAAACTACATCAGAATATCTACAAAACTAGTAGTGACAATAATATTTTATTTTATCAAATTGCTAACGAAAATAGAGAAAGAAAGTGAATGAAGTTTGACCCTGTGAATAGTAAACAAGCATTATAATTTGGGACGGAGGGAGTAGTTCTTAAAAATTAATCTTGCAAGAAACTGGAAGGTGTTAGAAACAATTGTGAAAAAAATAAGAGAAACTAAGAGTTCATAAAACTAGATGGAATTTGAAAAAAAAATTAGAGAGCGTTGAACAAAACTAAGGAATCGGGATAATGGAAGGAGTTGAAAAAAAAACACAGCCTATTGAAAAGAAGGTTAACTTAGGAAGATTTGTTCGCCTCAAAAGTACTAAAATCACTTATAAATTGGACCAACTCTTACTTTTACATCACCTTATAAAAAGGACTTGAAAGAGTACCAAAAAAGAATGCCAGGACATCTGCAAGAAAATGTGACCACATATGCAAGTTTGTGTCTTTACAGGTCAGGCTTGATAATTCCGATGGAAGGAACAAAAAGAACCAAATAATTATTCCATTGATTAATAAAAAAATTGATTTAAAAACACATATTTCCAGATAATGCGGTTTACATTTAAATGATACTACTATGGACAGCAAATGGCATCCCAGTGTTTGTTGTCCCTCAAACAAATAGAATCTAATCTGTTCACAAGGGTGAGGAAGTCCTAAACTGGCAGAGGATACCATTTATCATACACCATTCATCACTGCTTCCACGTGGACCGTGTGCCCGTTCTCCACTACCTTCCCGTTGATTTGGGTTCTTTGCCTCTGAAAAAATAAAAATAGAAAATGGGTAATGCATCGCAGTGTAGAAGAAACAAGTATGAGAAGTTATGATGGTTTAATGTGACCGGATGATGATGATGATGGATCTCCATACCTTCTCTGTAGTTTCCCCAGAATTTCCGTTCAGAAGTTTTTGATTCTCATCTTTAGTCATGTTGTCCTTCGACAAGGGAATCAAGAACGCTGCACCAGATCGATCCGGTAATTCTGGAAGTGTTTTGTCAATAAAGAACACAACCAAATTGACTGTGTACCTACAAAAAACAAGGTACATGCAAATCAGAGTTTTGCACACCGGATCAACAATAAAACTCAGTAAAATCCCAACATCATATATGCAGTTTTACCCCCTGCAAAAACAAACTGACTATTTCCACAAGACCATTGATGTATTGCTGCAATTACTATCAAATACTAGAGAGGATGTAGGAAAATGAAGTTTAATGTACCACATTGATTCAGCCCATTATTTACCGAAGCTAAAACATTGCCATTAGCGGCAATTTTAGCTCAATTGGGAATTATGAACTTTAGCTGAATAACTACTCACCATGCCACAACCACATCTACCGTGTAGTGTTTGCGAGAAGCAACAATCAAGAAGCTTTGAACAATAACCGCTAACCAGGCACATTGTTTTATAAACCTGCAGGTTTGATTCAAATAACCCATTGTTCATTTCATGTGAGCAACAGATACTTCAGCATTGCACTCAAACAGCACACGAAGGTTCACCTTTGAGAGCCATATTTAGTATAAGTCCGCACAAAGACAAGGGAGAATATCATATGAGATGAAAATATTAGATCTCCACAGCCATAAAGCACTCCTCGCGGAACTGCAAATGCATTTGTATTAAACCACCCCTGATGTTTCCCGAAAATATCAAGACGGAAATTAGTCATTGAAAACTGAATTAGGGATAGTAATTACCTATTAATAGAACTTCCAATATATTATCAGGACGAGGCAGCCTGGCAAGCTTCGACCCCTACATATTGCCCGTTAAGAATGCACATTTGTTAATAAAAAATCACAAGAATGACAACTGAACAAAAATTTGCATCATAATTCATATAAAATCCTCTCAAGTTAGTCTAAGAACATACTGATGACATCATACCCGAGGAAAAAAGATGGGAAAATACTAAGTGTCTTACCTCACGACAATGATAATTTGGGCCTGGAAGCTGCGTAGAATAAAAAGTAATGATCCGAAGGAATTGGCAAGCCTGCAACAAAGAATAAAGTAGTTTACACTTAGAGGAAGCTCGGAAAATGGATGATGCATTTCAACTTACATTTCAGAACCAAACACAATAAATCTTATCAATCTTTTTAGTAAAGAAAGGAGACTTACAACTAAGAAAGCAAAAACCCTGCACCATATCAAAACAGTGTAAATCTTTTTACTTTTGAAGATGAAAGGATGGAAAGTCCACTGCACCATTCACAGAAACCACGGCTTGATGTGAGAATACCGAACATAGTGTAGATTAAGACACATGCATAGCAGAAACAAGATTAAAATAGAAATCTCACCGAGACAAAAGACAAAAAGATGAAGGTGAAAACTGTCTCACTTATGTAACCTCTGTCCTGACCAAGTTCCTGCAGTTGTTTCAACATAAACAAGTAGAAGATGTAAGCAGATGAAACTTTTCAGTTAATAGGATGAATAAAAGCACAACACATAAGCACAACTAACCGGGAGAACAGCAAATCCGGCATCTTGAAGTGTTGGTCCCGGCTGATGTAAGTAATGAACCCCTCTAGCAGCAATTCCATGGATGTACTGGAAATATATTATAAACACAGCTTTGCATCAAAGAACAGGCCAAATTTCAAAGCAAAACTTTTAAATTACTTGAAAATTTAAAATTCCTAGAGTGGATTTATCTTAATAATTAATAAATATCCACTTATGAAGTCCACAAATTTGAGAAGAAGACTTCCAGAGAGGAAAAATGTACAGACCTGAAAAATTAGACCACCAAGTATAAACTTCCAATTCTCAACAAGAAGGTTGATCTCTGTAGTAGTTTCTGCACAAAGTCTCTTCCACAGCTTCTCACCCCCAAACAACCAAAACAAAACCCGATTCAGAAAGATTTGAATTTTATTCTAAATTTGAAAAAAAAAGATTATCCCAGAGAGACTAACCTTGGAAGCCTCACGACCGATGTAAAGCGACATATCTGAGTATCTCTTCACCAATTCCACGGCAAATTCCATATTACGTCACAAAGCAGCCCTAAGGGTCAGCATCACTATTGTAAAACCCTTTTATTCCTCAGAACAGAGGACCAAAATCAATTCCAACAGCCTGAACTCGAATCCAATCGTATGTAAAAAACAATAAAAAACTAAAAATCGATCGTCCACTCCGGAGGATTCAACAATTCAAACTGACTAAAAGAAGATCTAGATTCCGTGAAGCATATAGAAAAATAAAAATGACCAAATACCCAGATTGAAAAAATCGAAGACCTTGTGGAAAAAATAAAATCCCAATTGGGTGTATAGAGATCGAAGCTTTTCTGGTCAATTCTCTCTTCCTGCCCTTTTACTCTCTATATTTGGCGTTCTATGCGTCTAGGTGTGTTGCTTTCTCTGTATCTATAAGAGTATATATATTTTTTCTTCATGTGCTAATGGGAGTTGAACGCGGAGAGACAGTTGAAACCTTGAGAGAGGAGGGGAAAAACGGAAGGAAGTAGGAGAGTGGGTTTATTTTTAATTTTAATACTTTTTTCGTTTTGATTATTCTTTCAAATAGATGAGACTTGAGAGAGAGAGAGCCGGGTGTTTCCCGTTGTTTCCATTGGTTGATCTAAATATTCAAAATTTGGGCCAAACAACATAAATAGAGTTACTCATTTTTTTTTTAAAAAAAAGATCAAATCTACATCCTTTATATATAAAATTTAGGAGTTAAACTTTCAGAATGTTGACATTTGGCATTGCTGATTGGACAAAATTTTAAGCAATTCATCTGCCATGTCATCAAGTGAATGTATCGATTGAGATTTCTTAAGCAAATCAGATCTAAATGACCCGTACAATGGATGGCTGGATATGAGAGAACTCACCCGTTCGATTAGGAGAGTTCATCACCATCTGCGATCTGGATTCTTGAGATTCGCAGTCAATTATATGCAAAATTTCATGGAGATTCTTCGATATGGAGATGAATGCAATTACGGTAAGTTTCCTTTGCAAATGAAATTGAGATGAGCAAAATTTCTCTGAAATTATTTGATATGGAGATGCACTTTCCTTCGCAGATGAAATTGAGATGAGCGAAATTTCATTGGCACCAAGCTCTTGCCCAAGCACGGTTACTTTCCTTATTGTTACCCATTGAGATTCTTCGTCCGATTCCACTTTTTTCACGGAATTCCTTATTGGCTTGTAGGTCATCTATACATCAATTCTAAATTAGCCATTTTATCATTCTTGGCTTGTAAGGGCTGCTCATACCTAATATCTTTGCACAATTGACATGTCTACCGAACCTATTCACCTTTTGTTGAAAATCAATCCGACAACTGAATGCAAGAGAGTTTTAGTTCGTGTGATTCGACTGTAAAAGATGCCAGTGTACGATGATGACAAAGTCACCAATTCGATTGAGATGATATTCATGGACGAACATGTAAGAATTATATTTTTATACGAATTTTATACATTATATGAATACATGATATGTTTCTTTCAAGTTTTTTAAAATCACTGCATTTTGCTATATTTTGTGCCCCTTATACTCTGCTGCCTATTTTCAGATTTATATTCTTTGATATTTTTTATGGTGTTGAGTTTAGTTTCTTAAAGTTTGTTGAAATTTCTCCACTCCCTATGTATTGGAAAAACTAATCACACTATATTCTGTTTAGTTATTATGGTGCCTATTCATGTTGAAGCTTCTCTAGTGCTTAAAAACATCAAACAAAAAACTTTTTATATTGCCTAAAAACTTTTCATAGTCTCTACAAATATTTTTATAGTTTCTAAACACATTTGAATAGGCAATATAGTGCCTGTACGGTTGTACCTGTTAAAAATTTCTTTAGTCCATAAGTCTTGAAGTCTCTTAAGTCCCTATAAGTATTGAAGTTTCCTTGACACTTCTAAAAAAAGATTATAAACAAAAGGGTGAATGGGTTTGGAGAAAAGGGTGAACTTGTCAAAAAATAACATATATTAGCCATTTTTTAAATCGCTGTAATAAACTCGAGTGTTTCATTCTTAAGAGAAAGAAACATTTAAGAGTATATACTCTACTGTCCTTTACTTAAACCTGTTGTGACTTGGAGAAAAGTAAAGGGAAATGGCCAACATAGGCTTGATATTGAACCTCTAACCCCCCTCCATAGAGTATAGTCTCTACTACCATTTATAAAAGATTATGTTTTCGTTCTACTTAAATATTTCTTCTACAGAAAATATTGTCTCTTTCTTTGCCATCAAATTTGTTAAAAATAGAGAATCACATTTGTGCTGAATGTATTGATATAGTGAATGATAACCACTGCAGATAGACTTAGAGTGAATTGTTCATATTTGTATTCTTTTTTCTCCCTATTTTCATATTTATATCCTGTACTGCCTATAGTATGTTGTCCATAATCTTTGCTATATTTTGTGCCCTCTATACTCTGCTGTATATTTTCAATTTTATATTCTCTGATATTTTTTTTGGTGTTGAGTTTAGTTTCTTAAAGTCTGTTGAAATTTCTCTGGTCCCTAGGTATTGGAAAAACTAATCACACTATATTTTGTTCAGTTATTATAGTACCTATTCATGTTGAAGCTTCTCCATTGCTTAAAAACATCATACAAAAAAAACTTTTTATATTGCCTTAAAACTTTTCATAGTCTCTACAAATTTTTTTATAGTTTCTAAACACATTTGAATAGGCCGAATAGTGCATGTACCTGTTGAAGTTTCTTTAGTCCCTAAGTATTAAAGTCTCTCAAGTCCCTATAAGTATTGAAGTTTCCTTGACATTTTGTGGAAACTACTACACTATCCATGCCACTGTAAGAAAAAGTTTGGTGGGAACTTTTGAGAAGAAAATAAAGGAAGGATCAGTATATGTCTTTGCTTATTTTGGCGTTGGCAATAGCATTGGATATTATCGCACTTCAAGACATGAGTTTCGCCTAAATTTTCAAGCAAGGACCACCGTCACTGAAACCAGTTGTGACAATACCAGTTTATGGAATTAGGTTGGTTGCATTCCTGGATATCTTGCACGCAGATTCGAACTATCCGTATTTAGTTGGTAATGCTTCTTTGTTTTTCCTTAAAAGTATTTTCTATTGTTAAAGAGGTGGATTAGATGGAATATGTTGTTCTTCATTCTTTTGAATATCATCATTACATTGCAGACACTATGGGAATTCTTTCGGCTGTTGGGAATGAAAGATATATAGTGAGAGAGTAAAAAAGAACAAAGATGATTGTGATTACATTGGAGGCCGAATGGTATAATGTTATTATTTTTTGCTTCGTAAAAAGAGATTTTTTTTAATGAACATACATGTAATGACAACTTTTTAACTTTGGTTTAACTTTGGTATACCAGACAAAGGTTGGATGTTACTTTATTTGGTGAGTATGTTGACCCGCTTAAAAGCTTCTTTCGACAAGCGCCGTTGGAACATGCGGTGATCGTTATTCAGTATGCTAAGGTCAAGATATTTCAAGGTATTGATAACTTGAATACCATTGTGTTCTTTTGTTTCCTTTTAAAATGTTTTTAATCAACTTTAATTCTGTACACGTCATTATATATTACAATAATATTTCCTAATATTCATCTCGCGTTATTTAAGGAAAAATTATTCTACAAAATGTAATGTATGGTACACGTCTTCTGTTGAATCCAGAATTAAACGTCGTTACTGCTTTCAGACAAAGGTTAGTTTATCTCATATTTAATACATTTTACTGTCTGATTTTGGTTATAAGGGTAGAGTTGACGCACACAAACTAAGAAAATAGTTACCATCATGCAAGAATCTTGGTGGTTCTTCTCAACCTCAACCTCTTAAGTTATCATGTGATAACATTACGAGTTCAGACCAAAATGACTTCCTTGATACGAGCAATACACGAGTCATTGCTAACCTGAAGGAGTGTAATGAGGTATATTTGATAATTTTAAGCATTTAATGCATAGTTTCAAGACATTTAATGATTGGTTTGATTTTTAGATTCAATATATTAACATATACTACTAAGTGAGAAATAACATGAGACCTAATATATGAATTTCTCTAAAAAGGATGGACCGTATGTGGTGTACGGGAGTATTGTTGCGGTGAATAATAAGAGCGACTGGTGGTATTTCGCATGCAAGTGTAATAGAGCTGTTAAACCTGATGGTGTGCAATGTACTATTGTGCGCACTACTCAAGTCGTGTTTTCAAGGTCACCCCGAGGTATAATTCTTTTTGGGGAATTTGCCTAAATATGACTAAAATATAATGACTTTCTCAAACTAAGACCATATGTTTTTATTTCCCAATGTAACAAAATTGGTCATTATCCATTAATCATTATTCAAATAAATGTTCATCATCATTGAACATTATTCTTCCCACTAGACATTATTAAATACTATTCAGGGAATAAAAAAGGTTAAGTCCTACATTGGGAAATGACTTACGTTTTGGTCCTATTTAGTGCAAATTTCACATTCTTTTTATCATCAATGATTTTCTTTTAGTTATTAAATATGTGCATGTAAGGAGATGAATTAAAAACTCTTTGAATTTTTTTAACTATTCTCTACTTCAGATATCATATCAAGCTGTCTCTTAAAGACGATTCCGGAACAACCACATTTGTTTTATTTGACCATGAGGCGTCCAATATTTTGAATATATCCCGTGCACAATTGATGGAAAAAAGTGATGTGGTATGTACTCTTGCTTCTAATCGCTTGGTTTATTAATTTTTAATAATTCATACAAAGTATTAGTTTGATTGTTTTTTCGCATACTAACACAATGTTGCTTGTATGTATGAAATAATCATGTTATTACTATATGAAGTTTACTAAGAACATACATGAAATTAATATCATACAATTTTGACCATAATGAATAAAGCACACACAGATTGTCCACAGAAAAAAGGTTATATTTTATCAAGTAAATGCTGCTGAAATCCCTTCTAAAAATGGTGCTAAAATTTATGAAATGAATGTAAAACATTCATAATTTTTATGAGAGTTAAAAACGAATGTATAACAGTTTAATTTACTTGATTTTGAAGACAATTTTTTTCTTATTTGTAAAGTAATGTAATAGATAAATTTCTCTCAGGATGGAAGTTTTGAAAACCCCAGAGAGTTTGATGACCTCTAGCTGGGAAAGACGGATATTTTCAAACTTGAGGTAAGGGTCATGAATCGAGGCCAACATGAACACTCTTTTAGAGTGTCAAAAATATGTCACGATGATACCATTAAGAAAAAAAACCTAGAATTTGTTCATGCAAAAAAATTCAAAAGTAGCAGTTAATAGCGCTATACCAGTGTACTCTGTTGAGGAAGATTTTTTAAACAATATGCAAGCGAAAACAATAGAGTCTTTGAAGGATTGCACGGAGGTTAGTTATACCTTTTTTAATAGATGCTTCTTGGGGACAATTCAAAAACATTGTATTTAATGATTTACTTATTTTGCGCACTGGGATGGAGAGTATGCAGTCTACGGTTGATGGTTGAGTTTTTCAGTAAGTCAACCTTCCCAATGAATGGTTAGTTTTCTCCGAGTGTCATGTCTCTCGAGGAGTGGACGAAGGGAATTAGTTAATTTTTATAACTAGACGAAGGTTTGGATAGGTCTGAAAGTCTTCTCTTTTCGATTTGATAATAAAAATATTTCTGTCACAAATATTTCATTAACTTATCCTCCTTCAAGGTATCATTAATGTGTTCTAAAAAGTTTGGCTTAATTAATTTTAAATCCTCATGGACAAGGCAAAAACTAATTTCCAATTATTAATTAATTTTTCTCTCGACATAATTAATTAATTTAACAATAAAAATAATTCTAGAACAATTATTCCAACTATTAACTAAACATACAGAGTATATGCCCAAATTTAGCCAGGACCCTAATCCGGGCCCTAACCCCTACTAGATTTTAACAGTGCATGAAATAAAAGAACATTTTATTAAAAATTGTAAAAATAAACTTACAATCGGGCACAGAGCTGGGGCTACTTCGGGATAACCAGGACAAAACTAAACTAAAAATATAAAAATATAACTGAAAATGGGGCTAGAAAGGAGGTCCGGGCCTTAGAAGACCCGGAGGAAGCTGATTATGGATTGCCTTCGCCAAGAACTGCCTTATATAGGCAATGGGATTTCCAGGGCGGGCTCTGGGGCGGCGGCCCGGCATAGATAATGCGCTCGGCGGCTGATCAAGAGATTGGAGTATTATTGTTGTTTTGTTTCTTCCTGCGCTGATGCTCCTCTTCTTTCAATCTTTCTTTTTTTTGTTTATTTTATCTTTATATGATGATGATTGATGATGGTGACTCACAGTTGCAACAAGAAGCCACCCACTTGCTGGCTGCTAAAGTTGGCCGGCCAGCCAGGTTGCGCCACGTGGCAGCGCCTGGTAGGGGCGGACGCTTGTTGGGTCACACTGGGTCAAGCGACCCCATGGAAAATTTAGTTTTTTTAGAATATTTATATATAAATAATTTTTTTAGTGTATACATAGATTAAGTATATATTGTACAAAACACTACATGTTTTAAGGTGTATACGCTGAAGGAGTGGAAGCTCCGTATTTTGCAATGTGCTGGGCAACTATGCGATCCTGGGTTTGAATTCTTGTGTAGGGTGAAGACGTGAAGTTATTCTACTCTTTGCAAGATGCATATCTAATATGGTGTTTAATCTAATTATCTAAATTAAATATTTATTTTTTATTTGTGAATTGTGAAAATTTTAATTTATTGTTATAAATTTGTTATTTTGAATAGCAGAATAGGAAATTAAATTCGTTTATTTATTTTGTAAGATTTTGATTTGTGAATATGTTAATATAATTAGGTTATGTTTTAAGTTTAATATGTTTTTAATTATTCAAATTTCAATATAGGATGCAAAGGTATTTTAAAAAGGCACCAAGATTTAAAGAGAAAGAATCGAGTGAGAATCCATCAAATTTGAATGCAAATGCTTCGTCATCTTTAAATCATCGAATGGAAACATCAAATTTGAATTCAAATGTTTCATCATCTTTAGCAATGATAAAATAATAAATCACTTTTAAAATATGAAAATTAGACGTTATCAATTGTAAGATGTATTTCACATTTGCAATGTAGAACTATTTTTAATTAATTTTCAAATTTGAATTCAAATGTTTCATCATCTTTAGCAATGATAAAATAATAAATCACTTTCAAAATATAAAAACTAGATGTTATCAACTGTAAGATGTACTTCACATTTGCAATGTAGAACTATTTTTAATTAATTTTCAAATTTGAATTCAAATGTTTCATCATCTTTAGCAATGATAAAATAATAAATCACTTTCAAAATATAAAAACTAGACGTTATCAATTGTAAGATATATTTCACATTTGCAATGTAGAACTATTTTTAATTAGTATTTTCAATAATATATAAGAACTTTAATGTTATGTATTATAGAATGTTGTTTATTTACTGTTAGAAATGTGATGATTGAATATAAATTTTCTAAATTGCGACTCCATGGTTCAAATGTTCTGGATCCGCCCCTGGCGCCTGGTTGGCCGGATTTTGATATGGTCCGAATTTTTTTTCTAAAAATGCTATCTTGCTCAAAATTTTATTCTGAACAACTTTTTCTTCTACGCCGACTTCAAATTCTGAATCAATTTGGGTCAAACGAATTATTTTTGAATCAAAACAACTTTTTTTTTAACCTTTTCACTTCAAACAATTCTTTTTTTGGTGCTTTTTCAATCCGTTTGACCTCAAATCTTTTGACGGGGTACATCTCCACAATTGAATATACAATTTTCACTTCAAGGATTTTCACCATCTTTTGCCTCTTTGCTCCGTTGCATTCCATTTGCATAATCTTTTACACTTTTGTACCACTTTTGACTCAATTTTTATTTTTTTTAAAACTAGAGATAACTTTTGTGCACTTTTACAATTATGAATAAAAACTTATAAAAACCATTGAGAAATTGATTTGTTTGATCTAAAATTGGACAATAACACATTAAATATAAAGAAGATAAGTGCGTACAAAACGGACTTATCAACGGTACCATCAAGGGTGTGGATGGTGGAGCTGATTGGTTCATACCAGCATGTACACTACAAGATTTGGTTCTATTTGCGACGGAATATCTGCAACGGATTAATTCCGTCACAAATTGCGACAGATTTTGCGACAAAAACAATGAATTTTAAAATTTGACAGAATCTGTGACGGAATTGTAATTTCCGTCGCAAATCTGCGATAGCGACGCTCTTCTGTTGCAAAGGATTGACCGTCAATTTTTTAAAATCTATATTTGCGACTGTTCAAAACGTGTCGTGAACGTGGTAATATTTACTCTTAAAATACTACCAAAATTTCAGCTTTTAGCCTGCATACCAATTTCCCGACCAGTTGAGAAGCCTTTTTGATAGAAATGTAGATTGAATCCAGTTCAATAACAATGTTGCTCATTTGTCAAGTATGAGAACACCAAAGTGTATGTAAGAGAAAACATAGGAAAGAATGGAAAAAAGATACTAAAAGGATTGCTAATAATTTGAGGATAAAAAATCAATCAAACCTTACCTATTTCTCCAATCTAGAAGCACTATACCCGTGTACTCTGTTGAGGAAGTTTTTTTAAACAATACACATGCATTACATTTTCAATGGTCTTTACCACCATGTTAGAGAATACTCTGCGCTATGATTACAAACGAGGGTAGTAGCGGTATACCAGGTCATCTTGGCTGATGGGTCTTTACATATTTTGACATGTCAACACATTTTGTGTCATAGCTTAATACATGATCAAAAAACATATAATAAGGTTGATCATACTTTTTTATCATAGTGTATGATCAAAAAACATGTAATAAGGTTTTGATTCAAGAATATAAATGTTTTTTTATTAGAGTATGCAAGTTTTTACAGTTCTTATTTACAAATATACAATGTGATGTTGAAGTTATTATATTGTTTTTATTATTGCTAAATATATTAATTATATTTATTATTCTTGTAATTATTGTGTTACCATACTTGTATAGGTTTCCTAATATGGCTCTCCTACTATGATTAGGATTGAAGCCTCTACTATATATTGATGTATTCTCTTCACAATTATTCAATGAAAATATCTTTTCTACATGGTATCAGAGCCTAAAAACCCTAAACCCTAATCTCACGTTTCTCTCTCTCTCTCTCTCTCGTTCGGCCCTTCACTGCCAGCGCCGCCCCTCTCCTCGGCGGCCCTCCACCGGCGATCTCTCCTCTCTCCCGGCGGTCCTCTCCCTTCTCTTTCACCATGGCCGAAAATAGTGAAGTCACTTCCCAAACTACGCCCTCCAAAACCCCGCATCTTGCTCTCACAACCATCTCTAATGTCAAGTTGCATGTTCCTGTCCAACTCTGTCTTTCTCAACCGAACTACAAAAAATGGAGTAGTCTTTTTCTTCTCCTTGTTCGGCGTTTCCAACTTCAAGGATACCTCGATAGATCCGTCGTCCCCCTCTCCGACGGCGACGACGAATGGTGCCAACTCGATGCTCTTCTCCAAGGCTGGATTCTCTCCACCATCACCGATGAAGTCTCAGATCTGGTCATCTCTTCTCTCATCACCGCCTCAGCTCTCTGGAAGGTCATTCACGACCTCTTTCATGATAACAAACATGCTCGAGCCATGCAGTTGGAGCATGAATTCCGTACCACCGTCAAGGGCTCCACCTCCATGGCGGCCTATTGTCAACGACTCCAAAATCTTGCCGATTGGTTGGATGACGTTGATGCACCGGTCTCTCAACACCAACTTGTTCTTCAGATGCTCCGAGGGCTTCCCGCAGATCTTCAGAGCCAGACCTCGTTCATGCAGTTTCAGGATCCTATGCCGAATTTTCTTCAGGTTCGATTGGCTCTCATGCTTTTGGACCGTCAGCGGTCAACTCTTGTTTACCCTGGTAGCACGACCTTGCTCACCACTCGAGCCGGCGGTCACCTCCATGGCGGGACAAACGGCGGCAGCGGCTATGGTGGAAAACACGGCGGCAGCAGCTACGGTGATGGCAACTCGGGACAGCGCGGCGGTTCTAGATGAGGGCAAGGACGTGGCGGCGGATATCGGGGTCATGGACGTCAAAACGGCTCCCGGTAACGACAAACCCATGACGGCAATACCACCTGGAACTCACCTCACCCAAACCCTAACCCTGGCCTTCTAGGCCCCCGACCCACACCCT